CCACAGTGGGTCCATGGCAGGCACCCGGCGGAGCCTGCCAGGTTGTGCCGTAACACATTATGAGGGAGCCCAAAGGGGCACACTCTCCACGTCCTCGAGACGCCATGTTCGGGGCGAGGAGTTGACAGTTCCCTGGCTGTTTCTGAAGGGGACTGTTTCTGGTCCCGGTGATGATACGTGAGTGGGATGGGGAAAGACCAGGTTAGTGTTCTTGACATCGAGGGAACAACGCCTCCAAAAGCGGCGGCACCAACCGCCAAATTCGGCGGAAGATTTCCCTACCACCTGTGCTGAGCTGTAAAGCGAGAGGGACTCATCGGATCCAGTCTACGGCCCATCTAGAGAGTACTGTCTGCGTCGGTGAAGGGGCTCATCGGATCCAGTCCACGACCTAGCCAGAGAGCACCATCCATCTCCGCTTATCGACCCTACATCTACGCACCCTTCCCATTGAACTTGCCTCCAACCGCATCTCCATTTTGTTTTGTATGTACTCGTAGAAATCGATGTTGATGCCGCCAACACCAAGCCAAACCACGAAGCCGACAAGGACAGCGAGGTCGGATGGAGACGCAACTTGATCGATAGCGTAGAGCATTCTGTCACTCGGTCGTCTCCCAGATTGACTTGCCTTCCCATGCACCACATAATCATCTCTGGGGACCAGAAACAGTCCCCTTTCAGAAACAGTAAGGGATCCGTCCAACTCCTCGAAAGCGACGGGCGCCTTTGACTGCACTACCCTGACCATGACACTCGAGAACCTGGAAGGGACGGTCCCTCTGGATTTCCTCACTGCCACAGAAAGAGAGGGCTTTGTCCGACCTTCGCAAAACCGACTCAAATCGCGTCAATCAATCAGACCTCTCTCAGCTACAGATTAAAGCCAGGGAGATGTCGAGGCGAAATTCGCGCTTCTGTTTCTGCTCATGCTGATATCGTGCTCATGCCAGGTGCGCTCTTTTGCCGAACTGCTCGTCCTCGGGACTTTCTACTACGGTAAGTCTTGCTTCCACTTCCTGCATTCTGGCCTCACTCTCTTGCTCATATCTGAAGTTTTCATTAATTTCGGAGAACAGTCTATTTCTCTGAGAGAGTCGATCGGCCAGAGCGCTGCCCGTTTGTATCGCAGCAAAGAACCGGTCGCTCGAATCTGTAGCCTTCAAGTGCTCTAAGCAGCCAAAGATGGTATGGTCGTGTCCTCGCGAATGGATAGCCCACAAATCAGGTTGCTGTCCACTTTCGCTGTGCATTACTTGGACGGGTGGAGTGTCAACCGCACTGCTTCTGACCACCCCTAGATCGAAGAGTAGGAACAGGATCGGGTTCGCCATCTGAGTGAACACAAATTTCATCGGCTTGCGATCAGAACTCTTCTCCTTCAATTTGCCCGAATTCGACGTGTTCGGGCTGACATTGATAAACTCCTCCTCGAAGATCTCTCTCGGTGTTGTGGCATTCTCTTTGTTCTTCACCTGTACTACGATGACTCCGCAATTCGAAGGGTCGAACGTCTCATCCTCCGTGCCACAGTACACCGGAATCAGTAGATCGTATGTTTCCTGGCACCAAGATAGCTGCATCGCAGCGCTCCGGCGTAACAGGTCCCGACATAATGCAGGAATGTCCTCGGGGTTAAGTTGTGTATCAGTTGATAGAAAATGAGTGAAGTTCATTCTGGCTTCCAGTGTCCGCTTAGGTATCTCCCGAATTGAATCGTGATGATCTTTAGCATATAATGCCATGAGAAAGTCGAACACCGTAAAGGTTGGTGGAAATACTGGAGCACGAGCCCACCGAACCCAGTCGTGTGCAAGGATCAACACTAATCGAGCATAGAGTTCTCCTTTGCGCCCCTTTTCGATTAATCCTTTCTCAAGGAGCATCTTACAGAGCGTGAGAATGCTTAACGACCAGTGGTCTCCGATGCAGAGATGCTCCATTGCTGCCTTTGCTAAGACTGGCTCGGATGGCGTCGTTGTGTCCATCACTCCCGTCTCATGGTTTATAGATATGACCACTCTCATGAAAGAATTCACCGCCTCCCTTGTGAGGGAGAGAGTGGCGGGGTTCTGCCGGCGGACATCTAAAGAGAGACGAAAGGACAGCGCAGCAAATACGTGATTCGGGTCGATTGGATTGTATTTTGACCGTTGCTGGCCGCCAAGGAGCTTTAATTTGGCCACGTCGATCATATTCTGTTTCTGATGTACATATGCGTACCAGAGAGGCCTACCGAATAGAGCCATGTGCTCGAGGTTCGCAAATGTCTTTAACGGCTTGAGGAGCTCCTCTTTTCTTAGCATTGGATTCTGCATCCTTCGTCGGTCCTCGACGTCGAGCTGAAGACCCACAAATGGGGGAAAGCGCATCAGTTCGGCGGTCTCTGTAAAGCTGATACGGGCGGAGGTGTCCCGAGAGTAACCGCCGGTCGGGATGATATTGCTCGGCGGTACCAGGTGTCCGATGAGAGATTCTGTTGAGAGGAAGAAAGACCACACGCGAAACTTCTTCAGGCAACTGATGACTCGATTGAGCGCCATATAGAGTCCAGTACGTGGTTCATCAGACCACTCGTCTATTAAACTTGAAGCCTCGTCGAACACGATTACCAAGAGCGAGTTAGTGTCGCTTACGTCCCGGCATTGCTGAATATTTTCGATTAGGTTTTCGGCAGCATTGAGAAGGCCGCTTAAGGGATCGAGGGGACGTTTACACGCCATTTCGAATTGACGACGAATGCTTGAGGAGCTGTAATAGTCGAACTTCTCTACCCAGGCCGGACTGGAAATCAAATCGTTGGCGATAACCCGAGCTCTCTTAGCTACTGACTCGCAGAACTCGATGCGCATCTTGGAGCGTTGGCTCTGAGGGTCCTTAGCATCGGCAGCTGGTGCAAGCGGCGCCATCTCTGCGTGCCTGTCACCTGCAAGCCCTTCTAGAGTCATCATGGTAAAGGGCTTGCTCTTCACCCAGGTATTGACTGACAAGATCCAATTAGCGAGAGTTTGGTGAAAAAGGCACTAGCAACTTACATATCTCGAAACTGGCTTGGAGCAATGCTGCGGCGAGAGTGTGATTCCACGCTACGATCGCTCTCCTCTCCAGAAAATCACGATATATCTCCTGCTGGCTGGTGGGCTCGGGGATGTTAACTGGCCGCTTCTCCCGCAGGAATGACAGTATCTCTTCATCAGGAGGTGGAAAGCCGGAAGTTCCAGGCTTACGAAGAATGAAGTTGATCATCGGACAGAGTTGGCCGAAAGCATCCGCTAATCTTGATTTGCCCGTACCGCTGCTCTGAACGAATACCAAGGTCTTTGCGTAATATTTGCTCACATCGAGCAGCTGGTATCGCCGAATGAGGTCCCGTAGCGCAATTAGGGAGTGCGGAAAATAGGGATTGTTCCAATCTTTTTGCAAGGCACGGAAGATAGCTCTTCTCTGAGGGGAGGTCTCCTCCTCAGCCAGAATTGGGAATAGCTGTTTGTACTGTTCTGGATGGTTTTTCTTCAGCCAGCCCTGTTGCTCTTTTATACTCATATCGCCTAACCCCTCTTCGTACTCTTTCAGGTAGTTTTCCCGAAGCCAGATGTGCAGGTCCAACGGGCTTATATCTTCTCGCTCCTCTTTCGTTATATCGGGCTCCGCTTGGGCGGCTTGAAAGCCTGACCCGGTGTGCCCTGGGTTCGGTTCTAAAGGGGTGCTCATCGTGATGCTACCTAGAATAGCTGGACGTGACGAGAAGAGAGGCGAGGGGGAGGTAGTGAGTAGGAGCTGCAGGCAACAGCGGCGGCAGAGCTGATGAACCAGGTGATGACACAGCGAACGCGACACGCCAACCCAGGAAACACCGCGCGAGTGACGCGCGCACGTGACACATCAAGCCAAGATAGGCAACGTCGGAGGCGCATTTCCCGGCAACAACTTTGCAAAAAGGCAAATCGCATCGCACGCCAAGCCCGTATATCACGTGATTATATGGCGGAGATGTTGTGATATGTGGCGACGCCAAGGCTTGTAAAGACCTTCGGAAGCGTTGTACGCTTCGTACACGCTTCGAAAGTATATAGTCTGACGGTCCCCTGGACCCTTCGAAATAGGACAAGTCCTCCGTAAAATCACATCTGGTAGCAACGCCTTCGACAGTCCTCTACCCTGGACTGAGGTCCGCAAGGGCCTCTACGCCACTCTCAAGGAGGAGAGAGGCGTAGTCGGACGATCCAAGAGGTCTTTGAACGACTAGACCTCAATTCGAAGCAAATCCAGAGCGTTGAGACGAAACCGACGACGATAACATCGCAACTCCTTCGAAGAATGTCTTTACCCTGTGAAATGGTCTCTTCTTCCGCGAGGATAGGATGCCTCCTCATCCCCCTCGGAGACCCCGACAACAGGAGAGCCCTCTGAACGACGCTGGGCGGAGAAAGAATTCTTCGAAAAGGTCGCCACGCATGAGTCACTCTATCAGTGGATCCCGAAAACATCCTCTTGCCTCTCCTTCGTATCTCGAAATTTGCCACTCTTTCGAGGTCTTTGAACGTCTAGACCTCCACAACTGAGACATACGAAGGCCGGAAGCGATCTCGACCTCGAGAACATCCGGACCAGACCGAGGAATAATGACTGAACGCCACTGAACCCTCAGGTCTCGACCGTTCCATTACCCTGAGGAGGAATCTACACGGTTCCAGACCTTCAAGATGTTATCTTCGACGGGGATTGACGGGAATATGGAAGTTGAAAAGTGGTGGCAAGGCCACTCGGTAAGGAACACCTTCGGTATAGTGGCGGCTTCAGAGTGCAAACGATGAAGACCGGTCCGAGATAGCGCCCTCGCTGGACGAGGTAGACAGCTCCTATATAAGAATGTGCCCCTTTCGAGGCCATCATTTTCCCTTTTCCATTCTCTCATCGTTCCTTTCTCTTATCCTCTGTGCTTCGAACATTCCAAACCAGCCCGGAACTTCACGCTCAAATGCCGTGCCCTTCCAATCGAAATGGATACCGATATGACCAACGTCGACGGGAGCCCGTTCCCCTCGTTTGGGCAGAACGCTCACCCACAAACTTCTACCGGAATCCCGCCAACTTTCCCGGTACCCTCGTCTTCTGGATTCCAAGCCACCCCTTCAACGTCCCAACAGGGACAAGCCGACCCGACAACCCTCGAGGCGGTCGTCCCCCTCGAGCTCTTTCAAAACATCGGAGGGGCGGGAGTCGAAAAGCCCCCGAAGTATGGAGGGCAAAGGGAGAACGACGCCGCCCGAGTCTGGCTAATCGGGATGGAGAGATGGCTTTGGGCCAAGGAAATCCTTCTGCGAAGAAACCTTACGGGTCCCGAAAGGATTGCTCTAACGACTTCGTACCTCGAAAAGGCCGCTGCCGCGTGGTGGAACCTAACCTATATTCACAACATAGACCACCAAGGGCACCAGCTTCGGATCCAGTCCTGGGCCGAATGGAAGAACACCTTCCTCAGCCAATTCGGCGACGTCAGGACCCAAGACCAACGGCGAGACGAGTTCGACTCGCTTCGGCAGACAGGTACCGTCCAAGCGTTTCGGCAGGCCATTGAATCTCGACGTCTTTACCTTGAGCCACGTCCTTCTGACGCCGATTGCTTGCTTGTCTTCAAACGTGGCCTGAAGACGTCTATCCGGAACCGTATCGAAATCCTTCCTGACTCGATTGTGCCAGGGACTTACACTAAGTATGTGGAATTCGCCGATAAAAGCGAACGAGAGATGCTTGCCACCTCTAACCGCGTTCCCTTTTTCAAGTCTCGCTATGGAAAACCGGCGACTTCGACATCTAATGGTGCCTCTCACGCACGCAATTCAGCAGCACCTCGACGTGACCACGATGGTGACGTCGAAATGACACTCAATGGTATGCGTACCCAGCCGAAATCGGGCAACGCCACCAGTGGGCAAAAGGCTTCGAGCAAAGCACCTCCTTCTCGCCAAAAGTGCCGTGAAGAGAACCTCTGCTTCGGTTGCGGCGAGCCCGGCCATCAGAAGAAAGACTGTCCGAAAGCTAATCAGTCGACCCGTCGAGGACATAGGGGAAAAGGGAAGGGTCGTCAAGCGTAGGGGAACCTGACGACCATAAAGCTCCAGACCCCTCGAAGCATATTGGAGTTGCGCCCCTAGAGGCTGAGTCCCTCACTGCCAACCCCTGGGACGTCTCCCTCGCGACTGCCAATACCTTCGATAAGGACCTGGAACGCTTGCAAGGACATAATCTTGCAAGTGGAAACCTTGGTTGGACGCAGAACCCGTACCCCGTCAGTATCCTCTTCGACACCGGTTCCGATATCTCCTACGTCTCGAAGAAAGTGGTCAACCGGCTTCAAGGAGATCTAAAGATCTTGGAGACCAACACCCTTCGTGTGCGCCTGACCAATGGAGAGACAACTACGGCGAACCAGCAACTGACTATTGGCCTCACTATTGGAACTTTCCGAGCACGTTCTACTCTTCGAATTCTAGATTGGGATGCCTACGATGTCATCCTAGGTCTCGATTGGCTTCAGAAGCACGAAGCTTCATGGGATTTCGCGCGCTCGTGCGTGACACTACGAAATGGAAGCAGAAAATCCACCGCTGTCGAACTGAGACCCTTTCGAACCATCGACTACGAAGGTCTCAAGGAAGTTGGGTTAAATCTTCTCAGTTACCGAAGAGCGGAAAAGGCCCTTCGCAAGCCGCCCGCTCAAGACCGTCCACCCGTTCTGTACATTGTGGAGTCTCCGAAGAAAGAACAAGATTCATCACCCATTCCTTCCGTCAAGAACCCACGATTTCGACACCTCTTACAACGCTTTCAACACGTTCTCAAGGAAGTTTTACCCTCGAAATTCCCTCGT